CATTTTAATTAATTAATTGCAGTTTTAAATTAAATTTCTGTTAATTCAATTCAATTAATAGTTATAAATAAATCAATTATTTTGATCAATAATAGCACTGTTCACAATGCACCATAAATCAATCAGTAAATAGATCAATAATTATTTCTTTGATGTTTTCTGTGATGAATATGTTCACGTGTTTACAGAGATTTACCCTAGAAAGAGTAAGCAGCTATTTCAGCCTTTTACGTTTGTTCCTTCAGTCATTTGAAAGCATGGTTTGCCCACAAAGCTGTTTTTAAAGCCTGGATTCACAATTCAGTCACAATCAGCTGTCTTTTCTCTTAACACGGAGTATTTGAAGTTAGCACTTTTAGCTTTCTTTCTCCGAGCAATGACCCTATTCCTGAATGAATTCGTTGTGAGTTCACTCTGTGTCTGTTTTGGGCTGGATCTTGTGTTGGCCATCCAGTGTCTGTGCTGACGGTTATTGGTTGGTTGGTGTGGTGTGTTTCGTTTGGCCTCAGCACTTTGGCATTGCTGTGTGATGAGCTCTGGTGTCACTGATTCCCATGACTCATTGAGGTGGACATCCAGCAGAATGAGCAGAGACGTGCGGTCAGATCTCTGCTGACTAGGCAGGCTTTTACTTTTCTTAGATGTCGGATGGAAATGGGTTTGGTGACGTAGTGCTCATTTAGTGCCATTGCACGTGTATGTGTCAGTGCATGTGAGGACAGTAAGCTGGAAAGTCCATCTCAGTATTTTTTCAAGGCTTTTGCTAAAATCTAATAACCGTTTATTTATGTATTTGCTTTGATAAAGCCATGTTGCCAAGTAAATGTAAATTTGCTTATGTTTTTCTAAAACATTTGAATAGGGATGCAGCAATATTAAAATTCTGGCTGAAACAATAAGCAGACTATAATTTAAAATGTTTAAAGCAAGATGAAATATTCCGTCAAAATCTAGTGTAAAATAATAAAGGTGTGTTTTTCACAATAAACGGAGGAAATTGTAATTAAAAAATATAAATGCTAAAAATTGCATGTTTTTATTTATATGCAATTTTAAGTATTTATATATTTTAATTATAATTTCCTCCTTTTTTTATAGACTTAAGACTTTTTTATATATTTGGGGATGCAGCAATAAAATGGGTGATGTTTAGGCATCACAAAATCATATACAGTAATATACAGTATGAAAAATGGATATTCATTTAGAAGTTCTAAGTGTTATTAAATTATTTTGAATTTTTCTGTTAGATGACAGAAAAGGTTATCGGTATGTAAAAATAATAATTTAAAAAAATCGGTGAAATTTACGGTAAATCGCCATTAAATATACAATGGCCACATTTTCCGTTTTTTTTAGACTGATCTTAAATTTACAGTAAAAAGTGTATATATTTCATTACCTAAAATAATGTTAATATACCAAATTACTAAAGTTATTATTATTTTTTTTTTTTACCAGACAGCAACATTAAAACACAATTAAAATTGAGATCATTACAGTTTTCTACTGTATACATTGAACTTACTGTTAACCAATTATAAGGTTTTTACTGTAGCATTTAAAAAAAAAGACCATTAACATTATGATCATTTTTTTTACAACGTAGGAGAAATGAACGCATGTCTTTATTGAGATGTCATTGCAGGCTGCAGACAAAAAAAAAGATGCAGTGCGACTAGTGTAGTCTGATTCACAAGCAAATGAGTCTTCAGAGCCTGCTCTCGAAACAAATGATTGAGTCAGTGTTGTTATTGTTAACTAAAACCATTAAAAAAAAAAAAACGAATTGTTTATATAACTGAAAAAAATCTGAAATAAAGTAAAATATAAATATCAGATGAAAATGTAAACTAATGCAGAAAACGTACACTAAAATGACTTAAATGAAAATTTGTCAACTAAATAAATAAGTTAAAGGACTAAAATGACTCAAATTAAAATAGTAATGAAAAAAATCTATATATAAAAAAAAAAGAACAAAAGTCAAAGTAATAAAAATTACAAAAGCACAAAACAAAATGACCGCAGATTTCAAATAAAATTAAAATTAATATTAAATATTAAAAACGAACTAAAAATAGTCGAGTGTGACATTGAAACAAACATTTTCTGTACAAGCTGCTTTTAAACCGCACAGTACAAAAATATGCATTGTGATAGCGCTATACAAATAAACTTGACTTGAACTAAATTGAATTTATATAGTGTATGTGGCAGATTCACCATATATAAACCTTCCGAAGGTCATGACCTATTTTTTTTACATTAAAAAAAGATGTTTCTGAGATGGTTACTTGGAACATGCAGTGTAAGGAGGTCATGTGACATATATTATTCTTTGAAAGGTTAAAGCATGTAGAATACAATGTCACATAGGCTACTATTTTCGAAGGAATTAGGAAGTACACAATGCGCAGTGTGCAGAGTATGCATTAAACGTCTAGTTTATTACAGGCGTTACAAGCCAGTGCTCGAGTCAGAAGTTGTCAAACAGAACTGTGTTTTGAAGGTCAACCTACGCATGCTTTACTTAAAGCCAGAATATTGCAGACTGGGTGTGCGTGTGTGTGTGCGCGATGTACAGACAATTGTTCCTTAGGCAGCTCTGTCCTCTCTATACACTAGCATGCAAATTACTTCAGACCCTGCAACCAGTGTGTGTTATTTTAGTATAATTAATATAATATCACATTATATTATTAATATTTCCATTTTATTTTTAATAATTTATTAATTCAGCTTATTTTAAATTTATTTGATTTCAGCTTTATTTAAGTTACTGAAAATGATATTAGCTTTAGCTTTAGTTGGTAATAAACATGTTGCCTGTGTTGTATATCAGCAACAGGAAAAATTAGATTAAATGTAATGTAATGTGGCCCTATGAAATGTTTTATTTTTTCCCACCATATGTTTTAGTGTTAACAAATTTTTTGTTTTAGCATGTCTAATTATTTTAATGCAAAAAAAACCCCAACCTAATTTATTCAAATTAAATCTTAAAATAGCCTTTTGAGATGGTTTTCCCCCTCAGAAATTCTGTGTTGTATATTTAGATTTTTCTGGTTGTCAAATGAAAGCATAAAACATTAGTTTAATTTATCTTTTAATTACTGCAAATTAAATAAACTTTTCTTTTTAAATTAAAACATGGAAGAAATGTTGTGTGATTATTACTTAAAAAATCAGTTTAATAATTTTAGTAATAGTAGTACAATAGTAACAATATTCATATATTTCTGGCACAATGTCTTCAAGTCAAACTGAACTTTTATTTTGACAGGTTGCTGTGAACACCTTTACATTTCTGTGTGTATATGTTCTGACACTAGTTTTACTCAAATGAATGGTGAAATGCTCATGAAGTGACTCTCAGAACAATTTTGGAGATGTTGTTCTTGTATTTCTGTCCTCATTTAGTGAGACAACAGATGCTGACATCGCCGCATGTGTGTAGTAAATTAAACTGCGCATCTGCACCATTCATTCACACAGAGAAAATGCAGGATTCATATTTACAGTGGGGAAAAAAAGTATTTAGTCAGCCACCAATTGTGCAAGTTCTCCCACTTAAAAAGATGAGAGAGGCCTGTAATTTTCATCATAGGTATACCTCAACTATGAGAGACAAAATGAGAAAAAAAAATCCAGAAAATCACATTGTAGGATTTTTAAAGAATTTATTTGCAAATTATGGTGGAAAATAAGTATTTGGTCAATAACAAAATTTCATCTCAATACTTTGTTATATACACTTTGTTGGCAATGACAGAGGTCATGACATCTGCCCTGTACAGTGAAAACCGGGATTCATCCGTGAAGAGAACACCTCTCCAAAGTGCCAGACGCCATCGAATGTGAGCATTTGCCCACTCAAGTCGGTTACGACGATGAACTGCAGTCAGGTCGAGACCCCGATGAGGACGACGAGCATGCAGATGAGCTTCCCTGAGACGGTTTCTGACAGTTTGTGCAGAAATTCTTTGGTTATGCAAACCGATTGTTGCAGCAGCTGTCCGGGTGGCTGGTCATGATCTTTGAGTTCAGCTCATGAAAAATGGGGGCAAAAACAAAAGTGTTGTGTTTATAATTTTGTTCAGTGTATATATGTATGAGATCGATAACATAGAGCCCCCCCCCACATAACAAATTCCAATTTAACCCCTGATGTTAACTAATGCAGTTAACTAATGTGACCTTATTATAAAGTGTCACCACTATTTTAATAACATTTTATGCAAGTATGTATTCAAGATGCAAGGAAATATGTTATTACATTTGACTTTATGGTTACACCACATGACAGTTTTGGAGTCATTAAATTGAAACTTTTCATTTAACTTTGGTATAACTGTTTTCCAAAACTATACAAAACCGACATGAAAACAAAGAGTACTTGACAAAGAACTTGTCACATGTGTGTTGAACTTTTTTTTTTCTTCATAAAGGACACTTTTGACCCATTGACCTCTACATCATTGACCCAAGAAACAAAACTCCCTAGCAATTGCACAGAAAGAAATGCGCTGACAGAACACCTTTGCATTGTGGGATCGACTTCTGTGTGGGAATATATACCTGTTTAGTTTGATAAATTATATCTGTACTCTGACATATATACATGTGATCCTCGACCACAAAACAAGTCATAAGGGTCAATTTCTTGAAACTGAGATTTATACATCTGAATAAATAAGCTTTCAGTTGATGTATAGTTTTTTAAGATATGACGATATTTGGCTGAGATACAACTTTTTGATAATCTGGAATCTGAGGGTGCCTTTAAAGTAAAGTTGTCCAAATGAAGTTCTTAGCAATGCATATTACTGATCAAAAATTAAGTTTCGATATATTTATAGTAGGAAGTTTACAAAATATCTTCATGAAACATGATCTTTACTTATTATCCTAATGATTTTTGGCATAAAAGAAAAATCGATAATTTTGACCCATACACTGTATTGTTGGCTGTTGCAACAAATATAGCCGTGCTACTTATGACTGGTTTTGTGTTGCAGGGTCACATATATACTATAAATGGCAGTTGGTTGACTGTTGTGTGTGTGTGTGTGTGTGTTTGCACAGAGAAACCGGTGAACGCAGACCAACAGGAGCGGACTCTTCTGAAAGGCGTGTTCAGCGTCAGAAAGGGAAAGACGCAGCTCCATAAATGGGCTGAGCGGCAGGTCATCCTGTGCGGGACGAGTCTCATCGTTGCCTCTGTCAAGGACAGCCTGACCGGCAAGATGCACATACTACCCCTGGTCGGGGGGAAGGTAGGTGTCCACAGACACCCACCCACACACACACACACACACACGCGCGCCCTGGGCTCCAGGAACAGATAACAGAGAGCAGATGCATCAACACAGCTGTGAGTGAATGAGGATGAGGAAGGAAGGGAGGGAGACACACGACAATCAGACCTTTTATCTCCAGTGTGTGTTAAAGGAACATTCTGGGTTGTTTTCCACTTTATGTCTGTGGACCGTATGTGTGGCATGCTGTCGATTACCACACACAATACTTTCAGCTCCGAATCATTTCAGCTTCAGTCTGTTGTAATACACTTTAAGTGGACGTCTGGCAGTCGAGCACTTGCATGAATTCTTCAGTTTAAAAAGTTGTGATGGAGAAAGGAAATGCACTTGCATATAAGCTCAAAAAGCACTATATTACATTTAATTTTATTTGCAATTAACATGAAATCAAGTTTCAAAGCATATTACATTTAGTTCACACTTCAAGGAATAGTTCACCCAAAAATTAAAATTTTTACTTGCCCTCAGTTCATCCAAGATGGAGGTTTCTTCATCAGATTTGGAGAAATGTAGCATTGCATCACTCGCTCACCACTGGATCCTCTGCAGTGAATGGGTGCCGTCAGAATGAGAGTCCAAACAGCTGATAAAAACAACACAATAATCCACAAGTAATCCACACCACTCCAGTCCATCAGTTAATGTCTTGTGAAGTGAAAAGCTGCATGTTTGTAAGAAACAAATCCATGTTTCTTAAGCTAGAGAACATGCTAGTTTCGCAAGATCCCAAGCTTTGTTTACAGCAAAGGAAAACCAGTCTCCTCTTGGCTAATATCGAAATCCTTGGTTTGTATTTCTAATTTGTGACCGGTGTTTTGTTTTCGTCACTTCTCGCCGGAGCGTATGCTACATCTACGTCCTACGTCATCCGCTGGAACGCCACTCTCTCGTGAACGTGTTTACCACAGTTAGCGGAAGCTAGAGATTACAGTTTATAAAGTTTTAAATATGGATATTTTTCTTACACAAACGCATCGCATCAGAAGGCCTTTATTAAGCTCCTGGAGCCGTGTGGAGCACTTTTTATGATGTATGGATGCGTTTTCTTGGGCTTCAAAACCTCCAATTGATATAACTCCAATTGTATTTGTCTGAAAGAAGAAAGTCATATACTCTTAGGATGGCTTGAGGGTGAGTAAATCATGGGGTCATTTTCATGTTTGGGTGAAATGTCCCTTTAAGGCATTTTTAACTTCAAACTTGCTTCAAGCCTCTATGCATAATATTGCTTTCTCCAGTGAAAAAGTCATCTGGTCTGAATCCGGAGAGAAATATGCACAGATCAAGCACCGTTTATGAAGCCAAAAACAGTTCTAAACAAAATACACTATATGGACAAAAGTATTGGGACACCCCCTTCTAATGAACAGGTTTGACTACTTGAGTAATTTCCATAATTGTGTGCTTTTAACTTTACAGCAACAGTTTGGACAGGACACTTTTCTATTCTAACATGACAATGCCTCTGTGTATAAGGCAAGGATCAAAAAGAAATGATTGATTCAGTCAGTGTGTAAGAACTTGACTGCTCTGCAGAAAGCCAGCTGAACACCTCTGGTGTGACTTTAAATGAATTCCTTGAGCCAAAGACTCATCACCAAACACCAATGACTTGTACATGCACTGTATGGACAAATGTATTGGGACACCCCCTTCTTTAGAACAGAAAAAGACACTTCCAAAACTGTGGCAACAAAGATGGAATCATAATTCATGTATTCAGAAATTGTATTTTCATCTCTGTTGCAACAGTTTTGGAAGTGTCTAAAATGACTGTAGCCATATGCACAAGTCATTGGTGTCCCAATACTTTTGTCCATACATAGTGTATGTGTGTGGATTTTAATTTGAAAGGACAACAGAGGATGGACTTTTTCATTGGAAGCGGACTCGTATGTGACCCTGGAGCACAAAACCAGTCATAAGGGTCAATTTGTCGAAATTGAGATTTATACATCATCTGAAAGCTGAATAAATAAGCTTTCCGTTGATGTATGGTTTGTTAGGATAGGACTATATTTGGCACAAGTTAGATACAACTATTTGAAAATCTGAAATCTGAGGGTGCAAAAAAAATCTAAATATTGAGAAAATTGCCTTTAAAGTTGACCAAATGAAGTCAAGTGCAATGCAAGTTTTAATATAATTACGGTAGGAAATGTACAAAATATCTTCATGGAACATGATCTTTACTTAATATCCTAATGATTTTTGGCATAAAAGAAAAATCGATAATTTTGACTCATACAATGTATTGTTGGCTATTGCTACAAATATACCCGTGCTGCTTATGACTGGTTCTGTGCTCCAGGGTCACATTTTATGGACACCTATTGTAGTCAGAATCGATGGTTTAAAATTAAAATTAAAACATCTTAATGATGGATTTGTTTCTTACAAACACTCAGCTTTTCACTTCACAAGAAGTTAATTGATGGACTGGAGTCGTGTGGATTACTTAATTCCTTTAAGTATATTTTTGAAAGCATATGATTTCCATAATATCTGAGGCAGAATAGCTGCTTCTTAGGAAAAACTAAAAGTTTTTTCAAAGCTTGTAAAGTCTCCATTACCAACAGTTGACGGGTGAAACCTTGCTTTCTTGGCTCAGGTGGAGGAGGTGAAGCGGAGGCAACACTGTCTGATGTTCAGCTCCGCCGGACCGCAGGCTCAGACCTACTACGTTAACTTTGACACGCTGACCGACTACCAGCGCTGGCACCGGCAGGCTTCTAAAGTGAGTGAATTTGCTTTATCTCATCTAGACATGCATTAAGATTTCATTAGCAGGGCCACAGTGATTCAACAGCCGATCAGTGTTTTCTCTTCTTTCGATTTTGCAATAAAAAAACCCCACAGACTGTACGTGTTTGTATTTTCCGTCCCCGCCGCCTGCAGTGAACAGCTTTGCTGAAACAGCTGTCTGTGTCTTGAACACGCACATTTATTGTCCTGAACTTGTATGTTTGCTTTTTTGTTTGGTTTCTCTTTGCTCGGTTGGTCCTCATTTGTCTTAATCACCTAATGAATTGGCATTCCAAACTCCGGCTGCGTCTCTGGAGTCTAATGAGGTCTGACCATCTCTGGAGAGCACAGAGAGCTGTCCAACGCCAGAACCGTCCTGAATAATGCAAAACGCATTCTGCACAATTGTGTGCGAGGGTGATCCTGCAGTAATGGGCTGTTTGAGGTTGCATGATAGATGAGAAAGAGAGCGTTTGTGTGTCTAATGTGCGTCGCTACAGCCGTTGTGCTGTGAGCTCTGATCGACTCCATAATAAAAGAGCCTTTCAGTTCAGTTCAAGTCATTGTTTATATTTTTTCTACGAATCTGAGTTAACATGTTCTAAGCATAGGTGGAATTTGCACCGCAGCGCCCCCACACCTTGATGCTCATGACAAGAATAGCATGTATAGTTGCACCCTGTTTTTAAGTAAAGTTGTTTTCCTACTTTAACCCTTTTTTATAAATAATAATAGAAATGAATAAAGATTATGCTAAACTGCTTCTGTATCATATTAAGACTTTATTTCATTATAATCATAAGGCATTTTGACTGAATGATGATGTCACCGTAATGATTTTTGCAGCTTAAAAATCTGATTGGATGGAACCACATTTTAATGTAGCTGATGAATAAACTGTATTTCTTGATGAACAAAAGATTGTAATTCTTATTAAAACCTGACATGAAATAACAGTCAGAAAATGGTTTATTGGACTAACTAACTAAATAATAAACAAATAAATAAATACATGTTCGCATAACATTGGTGGTCTTTTACCATTGGTCCACCATTTAATTCAAGCAATAAAGCATTGAAGCCAAGGCCTTGCAGTACACTGATTTTCTCATGGTTAGGCTTTGCGTCATGCATAACCTTATTTTGATATCAGCCGTATCGCAGCATATGGGGGTGTAAAGAGCGGGATGTTGATGAGCTGTGTGTTTTGTAGGTGGT